TGTTAGTGCGAAAATGTGGCAAGATTCAGGATGACAGAAGATGACGATTGATGTTGAACTAACATTTTTTGTAAGCCGCAGGAAATAAAGACGACCTCATGGCAAGCTACCCGTACGCTTAAATTCATGCGGTCGGTGTAAGTAAACCGAAACTTAAAGCAGTTTCCATGAAAATATTCATAGAAAAGACAGGGGTAAGTCATCTGACGGCAGCTGAAAATTGACTGAAGTCAAGATGCCAGAATATTGCATAAATTGAGCATTTTACTAAGGCATGTTCACAAATATATTTTCGAAAGTTTTTAACCGAAAGAAAAAAAACATGTATCGGTACATCTGAATAGAATCAGCGTACCTGTGCTTCTGTCCAGGATCTGAGTTGAGCAACTGTTAGAATTTTCCCAACACACACACACACACACACACACACACACACACACACACACACACACACACACACACACACACCGACGTGGTGAAATGATTAGCAAGCTTGTCTCGCTGGACGAATTCCGTCTGTGTAGTGAGTTTGGTTATAACTGTCGGTTCCACAATTTCAGTCTTGTGCCACATCTAAGCCACACTTCGAAAATCACTGGACATCTTTTGATGTAATAGGTAGCAACCTAGTTTCGCTAGAACCGATACTAGTGAGTTCGATCCTCTCTAAATGCCCCATATTTTCGACTAGGTGACACATCTAAGCTACGCTTAAAATAAGAACACACATACACGTTTAATACTATAAACGTAAGATGAAAAGTAATATTTATGCAAGGATTGGCCCGTTTTCATGCTGTTTCAAGATAGTTTTTCTATTTTAGTCAGCATGTTTCAAAATTCATCTCATTCATGCTGTCTGGTATTGAATATTTTTGATGTTCCTTTATTTGATGTTTTCTTTTTATGTTGCTGTCAACGGTTACCGTTGTTGTTGTTGTTGTTACGGCTGCAGCCGACACTCTTTGCGTTGTCTTAGTCTCTACTTGTAATATCGCGACTGAAGTCACGTGTTCATTTTATGGCGTTTGCTGAGGTAAAGTAGGCTGTTCACTGATGGATTGGAAGCCAGTTGGGAACAGACAGATGCTAAACATTGAACTAGTGGCATTTTTCTTTCTTTTTAAAATCTTTGACTATTTCGTTTTCGAGTTTCCTTTTCTTGTAACTGTATTTTCTTCCGATTTGGTTTTATTTTTTTTCTTTTACATTTGGGTGTTATTGATTTTCTTTATTTGTTGTCAGTGATATTTTTTTTTATACATTTCCCCGACGTTTATTTTCTTGTTTTTTTTTTTTATTTCTTTTAATCTCCGTTTATCATAGTCATTCTTTTATTTATTCCTTATCGTCTGGTTCTTTGAATTGTTCTTTTATTTGGTGATTTTCCTTCCTGTTAACATTTTACTTTTACTGCTTTTCATTTGTATTCTGTTTCTTTATCAGATTTTATCAGCTAGCTCCAATTTTTTTCTCGCTGATTCTTTTCATTTTAATTACATTTACTATTTAATATTAGTTCATTTTCCTTGTCTTTTGCTTTTATTGAAATCTTTGTTTATTTCTGTATTATTTTATTCACATTATGTACCTTCAAACTAATCTCCTCATATTTATCCCAAAGTTTCGACTGTTGCGCCCCAACTCGAAATACTTCAGGTGTCTGTCAACATTTCATTTAATCTAAGATGTAGATTATTCTCATTCCGCTGTCTCTGTTTGGGGATACATTGCTTTGTTTTCTTTTTATTACTGCTCAGTTTATTAGATCACCCTGTTTCCAGTGAAACCGTACTACCCGATCCAGGAATTCAACTGACTATCAATATTCCACCAAATACACAAAACAACACTTTAACCAAGTAGGCTATTGCGCTTTGTGGCACTCCAAAAATTAGCATGTAATTCTTTACTGCCTCTTGCGCAATAGAACGAGCTATCTCTGGATGTGGACAGTGAAACAAGAAAAATAAGAGACTTGCCGGCGCTTTGAATATAAGCAAACGAAATATAAAAATAAATTCACCAAGAAAATTAATCAGTGACTGGAATACATTGTCAAGTAAAATTTAGAAAAAAATGTAATACAAGTTATTTAATATGTGCGTTGCTTCATGCTTATTAAACAATCGTAGCCTTTAAGTCTTTTTGCGATTATATACATAAATGGCGCTATCGAGGAAATATTACATTAAATATATTTTTTTGGCAATAAATATTTTCACTATATACTGTGTACGATATATGACTTCCCTATTAAAATATCTCCATAAAAATGGCTTCCGTTCAGTTTTTATTATCATCTTGAAAAATTTGGGAAAGAAACTCAGAGAAACCCATATTTAGCTGGACGACTAAATTAGATATCAATATGTGGTTTGGTTAGTTTATTTTGTTTTACGACATTATCAAAACTACATCTTATACAGACCTCAATTAATACAAAACAAAACAATATGCTAGAATTCGATTGAGGAATTTACTCTATTACCTATATTAATTGCCACAAGCAATACATCGGGGAAACCTCAAAAAAGAATTTAAATAAAATTTTATATAAACACTAAAGAGGTCTTTAAAAAAGCAACACATTTAATGCATTAGTAATGAGATTGATCACATTTTGATTTTAAAAATGTTACTCTAATTAAAAGAGAAAATAATTTCCTGAAACGGGAACATTTCAGAAATGCTTTAATCATCCAAAGTAATTTGCGTCCAGGTTGTTACAAGATTTCACTATTTTTGGTAGCTCTATTATTATTACAGTGTGGGAAATTTAATATTTAATGAAAGTATAAACAAAAAGAATCTGAATGAATTCGGTGAGATTATATAGCAAAAACTTATGTTAATTTTTTTTAAAAATTATTTAAATTAAAATTAAATTTAAAATTCTAAGCTTTCTTCTTTCCTTTGTGCGCATGTGTAGTCGCATCAACGTAAGCATGAATTTAACCTTGATGAAGTCCTAAAGGATGAAACGCGAAAAGTTTTCGGCTTTTTCATACTTCTTTCCATTAAAATTGTTCTCGGCATATGAAACATTGTTTATTATTATCCCATATATATATATATATATATATATATATATATATATAATTATTTATTCGAAAATTATAACATAAACATGTTCTAAAATCACTACAAAAATAGCCATTTTGTTTCAACACTTCTGATGTCTTATCAAGTGATGGTGTTGGACGCAGAATTAAAAGGTTTTAAAAGGATCAAATGAATCAAACATCCCTCGCAAGGGAAAACGCTGTTACATAAGCTGGAATGGCCCATAAAAATACAAGTATATGAGTATTCAAAAAACCTGGAACGGACTTTTAGGTTATAATAATTATTTAATGCTTTAATGTTGGGGTTAGACTAAAGTAGAAGTCATTCTAACTAATAAGTATTAAACTATCTTTAAAATTTAAAACTTACCAATCTTAAATTTAATCTATATTAAGTTTAAAATTATTTATAGAAGAAACTGAGGAAAAAATACATATGTTTTTCTATTTATTTTTATTGAAATTAAGTTGGAATAAACGTTAAGATCAAATTCTTCTCCGAATTTCATGACAACGGAGATATATTTGAAGCAAAAACAAGAGAAGATGAAATCTTGCAAAAGACAATACATACACAATCAGATTATAATACATAAACACGCAGACGTATTTAGATATATACACACACAAAAAAGCGACGGGACAGGAAATATCTCTACGACCCTTAAAAAAACCAGCAAGTAAATTGTATTTTGTCCTTGAAGCGTAATCAAATTGCGTAATCCTACATTACTCTTACTATGAAAAAATTGGGTATGCATGAAGATTCTCAGCATCCGATCATGAAATCATTCTGATGTCATGACCAGCCCATCTGAACTGTGACTGCATCAGAAAGGATTCAATTCCACCGACGCCACATTTAATGAAAAGATCAGGGTTAGAGATTTTGTCCTGCCGTGTATAACCGCATATTGAACGAAGACAGCGTTTATGAAAAGCATCAAGTTGATTGGTGGGCGTCCAGTATGGCGTCTACGATTCTGACCCATAAAGAAATGTGGTGAGAATTACTGTTCGATAGACACTGATTTTCTTTTTCAGTGAAATCCCATAAGCGATGCTTAAGGTTGCCTTTGATATTCGGTTAACTATATATATATATATATATATATAATGTAGAGAGAGAGAGAGCGTGTGTCCATAAAGTATCTTTACAATTTAAAAAAAATATATTACAAAAGCAAATGAACAGACAAATATGTAGAAATTGTTACAAAATATAGAATAGGTATTGAATTTTTTTAACAAATTTAATCCACCTCTATATGGGCACCATTAGACGGACGAAGCACATCAAAACAGTACTCGATTTCTTGCCATGTTCGCTGTAGCATAGCCTCAGCAATGGTGGCTATAGCATCAGTGATCTTTGGTTTTACATCAGTGATGTTTCGTAACTATGTTCGAATACACGATATCTTTAACATAAGCACATAGAAAGAAGTCCAAGGGAGTGATATCTGGTGAATGAAGTGGTAAGGGAATTGGGCCATTCCTTCAAATCCACCAGTCTAGAAATGTTAGGGGCTCATTTAAGAATATCTCTTACATCAATAGGTTACCTGAAATAAACAAATGCAATGTGATTAAAAATTTTGATAACTACTGAGTGCAGAGAATAAGTCTCTGATTAACATAACTCATGAATTGCCACACGCACATACACACACACGCACACACATATATATATATATATAGAGAGAGAGTAAGTAATACATTTGGGAGGTATGATCTAGAACACGTACCTTCACTTTTTCGTGTGAAAACAGCATAGCGTAATTAAAAAGGACACAAACGTAATAAACACACACACACACACATATATATATATATTTATTCAACGATAAATGATCTTTCTTTTATATTGACACGCCCATGGAATACGCTTGACGTATTTAGAAAACAAGCGTATATCCACTCCGTAAAGGTTACGACCACATCTCGTTGAAACATCGGTCCCCATACCATCGCCGAAGTTAAGCAATATCTAGCCTGGCCAGTAGCTAGATGGGTGACTGTTTGGGAATACGAGGTATTGTCAGCTTAGATGTGCGATTGGTGTAGGGGATATAAGCTAGGAATTTTAATTGGATAGCCGAGTTTCAATTCCGGTTGGGTTCGTTATATTCACTTCAAATAAAAAGGAAAAGTTAGTGATACTATGCCACTTCTTTCTTTTAGGACTGAAGAAATAATCCTAGAATGAAAACGCAATGAAATACACATTGGAATTGTTTATTCAAACCATTTAAGTGTGAAACCCAAAAGGCAAATATACAATTATACCAGCGATACTTACATGAACGGTAACCCATCAATAAACATTCACAGACCATATTTAAAAGCGTCTATATACACAAAGGAGTATGATTCAATCAACACTGGTTGACAACAAAATATATAGATGCCAACCTTTCCATGTTTTGTCTCTCATAGCCACTGATAAACTCGTGACCTTGCAAAACATTATCAATACGCCTCTCTGCTTCGTCACCCCAAACTGACAAGGCACACGCCAGTCTATTATTCCTCACTGACACGTCTCGTCACACGCACACAAAAAAAAATGTCATCCGACACTGCGGCTTTTATATACAAACAACTGACAACACCACGAAAAAAAAAAAGAAGCCAGCGACCGAGAAAAACAGTAATATAAGATTCAAAAAGAAGAAAAACTGTTACTGGTTCTGTAAAGAAATGCTGTTTGTAATAATAAAAAAAAAAGAAGAAAAGTCGACCTCGGACAATGTCTTCGTAAAATTGTTCACACTCATATATATATATACATATATATATATATATATATATATATATATATATATATATATATATATATATATATATATATATATATATATATATATATATATATATAAAATAACAATACCTATTTTTATGTATCGATAACAGTATTGGAGATACTGTATGATAAAGTGGAAAAAAAAGTTTGCGTGTGACACGTTTCGTCCTCCAGGACTTCATCTGACTAAATGATGAGAATTTTTTTTTTTTTTTTTTTATCTAATCGAATATATTTAGAGCCTTTTTCTTTTTCTTTCCATTACTTTTGTAAGTTGGTATTCCACACTCTGATATTAAAAGATCTGCCAGGAATGGTGAAGAGCCAGGGCGAAAACTTACTGTAGATTGCCTTGCGATTAAGGCACTCTCTAAAATAATTCACTATGACATATTTATTTTCTCTATTGGCCCGAATAGCAGTTTTTATGTTAAAATTGTCGTCAGTCTCGTTACAGTGAGTAACAAACGCATTTGATGTATTATTTTGTAAAATGTCCCTTTTGTGTTCATATAATCTTTTAAGATTGCTTCACGTTTTTCTTATGCGTGTGACAATTATTACTGTCGACGGAATAAACACCACTTTCATGTTTTAGTTTTTTTTTGTTTAGTATTGAGTAAGCCTTTTATCGTTTTGGATGCAGTAGTAATACATTTCATATTGAGTTTAGATAGATTCTTTTCGAGTGTACATGTGACAGAATTAGTAAGCTGGATAATATCTTTTTATACATTGGAGTTCTCAGGTGGGGCTGTTTCGGGGCTTTAAGATATTTTATGGGCCTTTGTTTTGCACCGAATATAAAATAATGAGAATACTGGAGTTTGAAAGCGTTTTCAATGTATTTCTCTTCTTCGTGTAAATAAACAGAGCTTCGTGTTCTTAGGTAGAATCCGATGATTATATATATATATATATATATATATATATATATATAAAACGTGTGTAAGCAAAATTGTCTAATTGTTACATTAAGTTTTGAACCGTTATATTTTAGAAATGACTAAAGTTAACTTACTGCAATCTTTCGAGGGTTTTATACCATTATTGGTCTCTACTTTGAGCAATAAGACTGTATAATTTCTCACCAAGCTTAAGAGAATGATTCTGAGGAAATCGAGGATTAGAGAAAATGATATGTTCATGATTAATTAATCATAGCTAAGGATCGAAAGATCATGATAGATTGGTATGGAATACACACACACACACACACACACACATATATATATATATATATATAATCCAGGATAATTTTCAAAATTATTCAAGATGATCTTTGCCCTGTAACCTGGAAAAAGAAAATCAATTAGTATAGTGTTTTATATTTTTTGATGTTGAACATTTTGTGGGATAGACATTTATGGTGACACAGGATTTGAACAACTTTTATGTTGCACCAGGTATATATATATATATATAGTAATTAGTCGGAGGATTTGATAAATTTAATTAATTCATCGAGTCTGATAGGAACCTCTACAGAATGTAGAAAGCACTGGACGGCCGTTTCGTCCTATTTTTGGGACTCATCAGCAGTGCGCATCCACTACCGAGAATTGAAACCCTGACAGTTGGGTTGTCAAGCGAACATCATACCAACTGTTCCAAGTGGGCCTCGGTGATGAAGAGATTGCAAACCGCTCGCTCACATATTCCGTGGCGGAACTCGACTGAGATTATATATATATATATATATATATATATATATATATATATATATATATATATATATATATATATATATATATATATATATATATATATATATATATATATACTAGCGTCCTTATACTCTTATGACGGCTGGGAATTGGAAATAGGGGAGCTGAGTTCTAATTCCAGTCTTGTTCGTTATATTCACTTACGCGTAAATCCCCTCATCTCCCCCCCAATCTATGGATGGGTCAATTAGTAGAAATTGTAGAAAATTATTATCTCCAAAATATTCCTACAATCTAAAAAAATATTTTCTGGCATTAGATAAATCGTAAAAACAACCAATACACCCCAAACATATCCTCATAATCTTCCTTTCTTACCACTTCTTATTTCATTCGTATCATTCGAGGAACGGTGGGGTAATGGATAGTGACTCAGAATCGGAGAGCAGAGTTCAAATTCCAGTCGTGCGAAAGGGGAGCTATGAATCCTCTTCTTCTTCCCATTATTTGGGTAAATAACAGGACAGACGGGGTTCTATAGCCTTGGATGGCAACTGGTCTACAACTAATGGCAACCTACTGCAGTCAAATATCTGCCTCGTCAGTCATGTATCGAAAGATACATGATCGCCTAAGCGTGTATCATGCATGGCACATAACCGACTGATAATAGAGTTACTGAATTCGGAGCTGTGAAGAAGTCAAGAAACCACTTCACTATCGTCTCGAATAATACATTTCACAAATGATAAAGAATATGAATCTGATCACCTACGTACTGAGGTGAGAAGTCTTTAAAAAAAGTATATTATTTAAATTAACTACATTTCGGTGATGCTTTTTTGTCATCACTCTATCAGACAAATTAATTCATCATTCAGAACAATAACAATTGGCTCATTTAGGAAGAACAGTGACATCAGTGACCTCTTGATAGATACCTAAACTAATGCAATTCATTATCTACCTGAATCAAGTATCTTTATATCACTTCATTATAATCATTTCATTCTAAGCAAGGCAAGAAAGCCACAACACTTCAAAGGTTTACCGTGACAGCTAGGGCAGCGGCTATATTCTTAAATTCGAGGTACCAATGAGTAAATCTCTTCTGAACAATTACCATGAAAATATTTATAGAAAAGGCACAGCGATGTTATTTTACGCAATTGTTAAGTGATCAAATTAATTTACATTATTGACATTGTTCATCTTTATTTTCCCATCCAGAATGTTTCGGCCGTTGTACGCCTAGGCTTTCTTCCGGTGATATTGCCTTGAATTTCGAACTGAAGCAAGAATGGTCAATATGTATGCTGGTGTTTCTGAAGATTGGTTCGATGACGTTTATATAAAAAAAAAAAAAGGTTCTCTTCGAATAAGCCTGTCTTCTGCGGCTTGTTTCCCCACTTGAGTCCAGCTAATTCATTAGTTCGTTTTTGACAGGACAATATCACAACTAGCCTGGCCAATATGGCACACATTGTATAACACAGTAAAGATATTTGCAGTATCGAGTAATGAAGAGGATTCCATCCTTAAATTGCGTGAAGGTGACGATTACAAGAAAGGAGGAGGTGTCCACTGGAATACATCAGGAGCCTTCTAGCATAAATTCTAATTGATCTTGAAAATAACATCTTTCGTGATGATATAATTGTTGAAGTTACGTAACAGTCGTACAAGAACGTTAGCACGTTCTCAGTCAAACGAGTTTAAGAAATATAAGCTGCTTGAGCGTGTATCGTCTGCCTTTCAGAGAGAAAGCAGACACTGTTGGGCTCTTGCTTAATTTCAGAACTATATAGGAACATATGAAGCATAAAATAATCAATGGGGCAATTTATATAAAGACAAATTATATCTCCCAATTTTATTTTATCACGGTATATTTTATTATTATTGATAATATTATTAATTACTTTATCGATTTGCAAGGAAAAATAGAGTTGCCGCCCTTGATTCCCAAACGTGTTTTTCTTGCCTTCTGCTTTCGTCACTTTAAATTAGAATTTATAATCTTTATTTCCAACCTTATCTTCAAACTTAAATGTTAATCTGGCCCTAATTTCAAAACTCAAATTAAAATACAATTCATTTAAATAATTTAACAACAATAAAACATCTCGTGATAACTATAAATATTAAAAAACAGTGTTAATCCACAAAAATACATGTACTAGAAAATTGCGTCGACATGTGTGCAATGTAAGGTGATATGTATATTTCTTATATATATATATATATATATATATATATATTAATGACCTCACTGGTCGAGGCTCAGTAAAATAAAAAGGTGTTGAACTTTTAGGGACACTGCAAGTGTTCTGCAAACTTCTAGACAGATGGAAGATGTGGTTGTACCATTTTGCTCGAGTGGTTGAGGATCAGTTGTTACATGTTTCTGCGAGTGAAAAGCAAAGCCTCTTTGAGCGCGTACAAATAAGCTACAGTGGCAGACTAGTCAATCATTGAAAGGAGAAGCATGCGACCAACGTTCTTCATTTTTTGCCCGAAGTTGATTCCGAAGTTCAAGACTGCCTTGCTCAAAACTTTGTGTAGATGAGAA